AACTTTTAAAAGTATAAGAACTAAAATTGTAAAAGTTTAAATATTTCGTGTACTAATTGAAATATTTTAAGATAATATAAAGGCTAATTTAAAATTTTAGTCAATATTTATATACATACACACACATCTTGAATTTAAGGCAAAGTATAACATGCTTATGAGGGAGTTGATAGTTGAGAGGGTGACTTGGCCTCATATTCTAACATGTATATGAGAGCTTTAGAGAGATAAATTATATAGAATATATAGTATAGAGAGTTCTCTAATCCATACATATGTTTAGATAGTACGTTTGTAGCTATTACAACATAGTTATAATATTAATGTAACTAAGAGTCATTGTGTTTGACTTAATTGTCAATTATCTTTACTTTGATTCTAGACTTCCTAGTTTAGTTATAGGTATTGCTAACTTGATTTCATAATGTTCTAACTCAGTTATTAAGACTTAAGTGTTAGGTGAACAAACATATTGGCTTAGTTGCTAGGTCTCCATATTGATATGGGTGCCAAGAGTCCTCCCCTACGATTTGTAGTACCACATGTATTATGTCTTGCAACATGTTAATGTTTTCCATTCTTTGATGTATTAATATATATCAAAATGCACCAATGTACTAATAAAATAATTTTATTGCAAATAGTATCTGAATTTTTCTTCATTTTTTTTTATTTGAACATTGATATTTCAGTTGGTTTAATTAAGTATTTGACCTTTTATATTTTTCTAAATCTCTTTCATTTAATTTTTTTACTAAAAAAAAAAAATCTCTTTCATTTAATTTACTTATTAAAATGAACATATTTTTAAATATATTTTATTATATAATAGTAATGTCATTAATATTTTATGACATGATTATACTTATTTAAAATTTTAAAAATATTTGAACGAAAATAAACTTGCATATACTTAAAATGGTTTGGGTTTTTTAGTGCAAGATACCTAAATTACTTAAGATGATGGCAAGTTTAAATGTTTTACTATTCAATAAAAATTTAAACGAAACATATTAATACACATGAAACCAAAGTCATTGTCATGTACAAGATTATAACTTGTACAGAAAAATATGTTTGTCTTGATACATGAGTCAATTGCATGATTCATTTTAGAGACATTGAGTTGCACTAGTTGAAATATTAAAAACTTAGATTAAAAAGATAAAAAATCAACAACCACTTTTG